CTGTACGTGTGTGTGTGTTTGTGTGTGTGTGTGTGTGTGTGTGTGTGTGTGTGTGTGTGTGTGTGTGTGTGCATGAAGCAGACAGACAGACTCAGACAGACAGAAGGACCGCCTGTGTGTCCTTGGAGCTTTCTAGCTGCTGTGAGTCAGACTTCAGGAGCTGCAGAGTGTGAGCTGAATTCTGATTTTCCCCCCAAAACTCCCCGGAGGGTCGGATTGAAGCCCAACCGACAACTTAACTAGATTTACCATTATTACCACTCCTCTTATCCTGCCGTATATTCACAGGTTCTTTCTCTGTCCTGCTTTGTTTAGTTTTTTTTCTTTCTTTCTTTCTGTTTTTGTAGTTGTAATCCAATTCCCCCCTGCGGTCCTACGATATGTTACAAAACCATTTTCTGCTTCAGGGATAACTTTAAGTTTTCTCTTTGCTGCTGTTCCTCACAACAGACAAACACCTTAAACTGTGAAAGGATTTGATCCAAGAACAGAAAGCCTTTATATTACCAAAAGCTGCATGAGGTGACTGTAATGGTTGTTATATCGTCTAATGCTGCCACCGAGAAATCTCCTCACCAGCTAATTGAAAAAAATAAATAAATAAAGAACTCCTGACTTTCTATCATAAAAACTTGTCACCTTGGGACTTGGTAAATTAACTGTCTTTGAAGAAAAAACTACAAACAAAAAATAAAACTGAGCTCCAGTTCTCAGAAGGACAAATTCAGTGAATGTAGAAGAGAAACCGTACACAGTTAGATTTCTTTAAAAGAGCATCAATGTGGGCTCCACCTATAGAGGTAACAGATGTCTCAAATCGGCTTCCTCCGCACTCACACTTGCTCTATCGAGTGCATAAGTGCATCTACATCGACAGTTATAGCAACATGCAGTGCGTTATGAGTCGCTGGATGGTGTACTTGGAACCATCAAAAAGTTGATTATGAAACTCTGGACGCTTTCCACCCTCAGTCACGGCCATCTTGGCTGCCTTTCTGAAGGGGAGGGGCCAGAAACTAATTTTCAAACTTGTGAAAATTGCAGCTGAGAAAGATGCAGCTGTTTCAGTGATAAGGTGGAAAAAATGCACTTTACAGATGCAAGTCATACGGGTTTACACAAAGACTTCAGTAGATACTACTGCACTGTTGTCGGCTAGAGGAAGTTAGTATGTCTATTATTAATTTAGCAGACTAATGATTCAGTGCTGACAGACATTTTTTGCTAATTGTCATATTGAGTAACTAAACAACACCCACCATGTTCGATTTTAGAGAGCCCATTAAAGTTTGCAAATACACAGTGCACATCATGTAAATGTAAATACAGTCGAGACTCGATAATCTGACACTAAATGCAAAATCTTCTTTTATGTCGGATAGCAAGGCTGTTGGATTGTGAAGACGGAGGTGGAGATACAAGGAGGGCTTGATGCTGGAAGGGTCATTTGTTGTTAATATTTGTTGTTCATAGTTGTTATAGCAACTAGTAGGGCTGGTCCCAATAGCACTTTCTGGTCTCTGGATATTCAGGCCCAGTTAATGATGAATATCAGAATATTTGGGGCGGTTGGGGGACACTTCCACGCCAGGGGAGCACTCCGACGGGGTGGAAGTGTCCAGAACACACTGGCAGTACTTGGCTGATGATGCCAGTTTAGTTAGCGGTCACGGTTCTGTTTCCACCATCGGAGGCGGCGGGGGAGTGGCAGATACGCTCCACTGTTACCATCGCTGTTGACGTCGTCGTGTCCTCTTCTGCGCATGCGGGACACTTTTGGGTCGTATGAAGTTCACACAGCAGATCACATACAAGTCGCATTTAACTGGAAATATGAAGGAACTCGCAAAAAAATCTGAATTGAGCATTAAGTCCTGCAGTCTGAACGTAGCCAATCTGTTGGATTGTTCAGTCAGATAATACGCCGTTATCCTTATTTGTGACACAAAATGTCATGTCGGAGTCAGAATCCAAGGCTGTCGGTATGTTAAGGCTATTTTTCATGGGTTCTGTTGGTTTTTCCTAAAAACCTGTCGGATAGCAAGGTTTTCGGATTGTTAAGGGTCGGATTATTGAGTCTCTACTGTACTAACTAAAAGAGACGAGTTTCTAATCCGATTTTTAGCCCACGCTATGACGCATGACAGCGTCTGTCTGAAGCTCCATCCATTCATCCATTAGCTACACCTGCTTCATCTGCAGAGAGTTGAATCTGCCTCGCCAACATTAGGCGAAGTCATGAGTCCATCGCAGAGCTAACACAAAGATACAAACAACCATGCACACTCACTACCAATTTTGAACCACCATGTAACGACCCATGCATGTCTTTGGACTGTGGTAGGAAGATGGAACCCATAGGAGAAGATATACAGAAAGGTTCCAGTCAACCAGCAGGTTTAAACCCAGAACTTTGGTGCAACAATGCTAACAACTGCACCGCCCTGGTCTTAAGGAGGATGGTTATATAAAGACTCAACTATTTGATTGATTGCCCTTAAATGTGGTACACACAGTGGTATCCCATTCAGGATGAATTATAAACATTTGGTAATCCCTTAATTTCCATAATTTAGCGGCATCTTAAATTTTCTGTTTGTTTAATACTTGATGACCAACTCACAGTCAGACTAAAGTCATCTCTGACACAAAGTCGCCTTTTTATGTTCTATAATTGTCTCTATAGAGGAACATTTGACTGTAAGATAATTTAGACAAATGTGCATTGTGCACTCTGTCAAGTCTTGTTGTTATTTAGGTTACTAAATTATCTCCACAGCGTTTTATTACAGAGCATCCCATTTCACGCCTGACCCCAGAAACACTCGTTCATTTTTCTTTCTGACTGTTCTGTGCTAAATTCTGCATTTCTGTGGAAGAATACAGAAGTAAATAAATGATCATAGGCTACAGCAACAGCAATGAAAAATACAACAATGGAGCTGCAACCTGTTCAGATTCCCTTTTCTGAGGTAGAACTTGTTGCAGCTGACGACACATTACTGGTCAGTGCAGTTCGGCCGTAACCAAACAGAAATCAGCAGGCGACTCTTTGCCGTGGGGAACAGGAGCTGACAACACTTCACCTGTGGGTCTGCATTAACAAGCAGCTCGAGTGGAGGAAGTAAATGAGGCTGAATCCAGACCCTTTAATCTTTTATACAAGCTCTTTTACAGGGTGCCTGTGGAGAGCAGAGAGGACGCCGGACTATCTGTCTGTCGCGGCTGAGGATGAATGAGGGCATCTCGGTGGAACCAGACGTCAGAATTAAGTCAATATGCATTTCTCTTTGATTGAAAGGAGCGTTCAAGTTGTGATGATGAAGGAAATTAAAGTTTGTTTTGTGGGTCTCAGAAGAGACAGACTTCTAATCAAAACATGGAATAATGGATAATCACCCAAAGGTTGTTTTAATGCTTAAATGTGGCCCTGGCATTACAAAATGAAAGCTTTGACGGCACAAATGCAGCATGGAATGATTCCAGCCACTCAGATAATTTTACTGAACAGAGCAGGTAGACTGACAGGCACCCACATCTATAGGAGTTAAATAGCAAAAGGAAAAGCAACAGCAAACACAATATACAGCAATTATAAAAAAATATTCACCACTCTTGAAAACACATTAAGTTTAATCTCATCTGGGGTTTGCTAGAAGGTGTCTGAAGTCAACTGGAAGAAGGTTCCTTGGTTTGATGTGACCAAGAGTCAGCATTTTGGCATTAAACACTAAACATGACATCTCCACGATCAAAAGCATGGCGGTGGCACCATCATGATATCTGTTGCTTCTCTGCAGCAGAACCTGATATGCTTGTAAAGGTAGAGAGTAAAAATGAGCATAGCGAAGTTTAGCCTAAACCTAGAGGATAACCGGATGCAGTCTGCCAGAGAACTGCAACTTGGAAACTGATTTGTTTTCCAGCAAGACCTGCAGCATATCGCCAAGGCTGCACAGGAATGATTTGAAGACAACATGCTGGATGTTTTGCAGGAGCCAACCTCAATCTAACTGATCATTTGTGTCTAATTTTAAAAGGGTTGCCCAATTATAGTCCTCATACAACTTGAAAAAGATTGAGCAGCTTTGAAAAGAAAATGGGGTGAAACTGCAGAGTTGACATGCGTAAGGCTGATTGAGGATCAGAGCTGTAAGTGTGGCCAAAGGTACATCTACTAAATACCGGTTTAAACGGAGCAAATGCTTATGCAGCCGCTTATTTTGCTTTTCATATTTTTAACTAATTGACATTACTTTTTAGAAATCTGTTTTCACTTTGACATGAAAGGAATATTTTTTATTATTAATTCTTGTCAAAACAAAGCTGAATTGAATGTTAAACAGCAGTGAAAGAGGAAAACTTCCATGGGGGGTGAAAACCTTTTCCAGACACTGTATAATAAATATCTGTTTGTAAAGTGTGATGTGAGTAACGCTGAGGATGGGAGCTGTCACATGATGCCCTTGAGGGTCAATCGCAGTTGGCATAAGGGTTTTAACACGAGATGAAAAATAAAATGACATTCTGTTAAAACAGGTAGGCCAGTATTTGTAATTTTTATGCAGTTCATTTCCTCATAGACAGTTTGAACATGCGAAGGTTTGGATTGACATTAAACTGTTCTGATTGAATGACTACAAAAATAATCCTCTGTGTTAAAAAAAATATCTGCGCGGTTCATGTATGCTGCTGTATTTAGAGCATTCCACCACACTGAGCTATTAGAGGAAATGAAAGATTTTAACTAAATCAATTGTCAATAACACATCAGTGAAGCCCAGAGAGCTTTACAAACAAGCTTAAATGCACTTAAGTGCAGTCATGCATGAATGTAATATCCTCTCAACTCTCTACGAGCAACTTTGCCAATCCTATTCATGATATTGTAGTTGCCTTTTCTTTGTTGCTGCTTTTCACTAATTTAACCGGGTTGCTATCTGTTCAGGACAGTGGTGGAGGAAGTATTCACATCCTTTACTTAAGTAAAAATTCCAATAACACAGTATAAAAGTACGGTCGTGACTCGATAATCTGACACTAAATGTAAAACCTTCTTTTATGTCGGATAGCAAGGCTGTCGGATTGTCAAGATGGAGGTCAAGATACAAGGAGGGCTTGATGCTGGAAGGCTCATTAGTTGTTAATATTTATTGTTTGTAGTTGTTGTAATAACTAGTGTATTGTTAGAACACTACGCATCGCTGGATTTCACGCCTAATTGATCGGTGCGCTTGTACACGTTCCAAACACTTCCACGCCGGAGGAGTGCTCCGACAGGGTGGAAGTGGCCGGAACACACATACTAGTTTAGGATAGCGGTCACAGTTCTCTTTCCACCATCAGTGGCAGCGGCAGGGAATGGCAGATACACCCCAACATTACTATCTGTGTTTACTTCTGCAAACACTGAGCACGCTCGCTGCGTGTGACGTCGTCGTGTCCTCTTCTGCGCATGCAGGACACTTTTGGGTCGTATGAAGTTCACACAGCAGATCACATACAAGTCGCATTTAACTGGAAATGTGAACGAGCTCCCAAAATATCGGATTTCACTAAAAATCTGAATTGAGCATTAAGTCCTGCAGTCTGAACGTAGCCAATCTGTGGGATTGTTCAGTCAGATAATCTGTTATCCGTAAAATGTCGTGTCGGGGTCAGAATCCAAAGCTGTCGCTATGTTAAGGCTGTTTTTCATGGGTTCCGTTGGTTTTTCCTAAAAACCTGTCGGATAGCAAAGTTTTGGATTGTTAAGGGTCGAAATATGGAGTCACGACTGTATTCTGTTACAAGTAAAAGTCCTGCATTTAAAATGTTTCTTCAGTAAAAGTATGAAAATATGTCAGTATTATCACAAAAATGTATTTAAAAGTAATTAAAGTAAAAGCTCTTAGTGCAGAAAAATGTTCGCTGTGACGCTACAAGGCATGTATTAACATGACAGCAGGGGTTTACTGTTGTGGTTGGTTAAGGAGAAGCTCA